AAGGCTCAATGGTTCTCGAAGCTAGACCTGAGATTCAGATATTAGCAAGTACGTGTTGCAGCCGGCGATGAACCAAAGACGACATGCATAACCAGGTACGGATCGTTCGAGTTCTTAGCCATGCCCTTTGGATTAACCAATGCACCTGCCACATTTTGCACCTTAATGAATAAGATCTTCCATCCCTTTTTGGATAAATTCGTTGTGGTGTATTTGGACGACATTGTGGTGTACTCTGAGTGGTTGGAAGAGCACATTGATCATTTACGCTCCGTCTTCCAAGTACTCAAAGAAAACCAACTATGTGTTAAGATGGAGAAGTGCTCCTTTGCCCAACCTGAAGTATTGTTAGGAATAAATATGAGATGACGAATGCGGAATCTGAAGAACAATCATGAATAAATCACCATAATATGCAAGTAATCTGAAAAAGCTTTTGTGTATATTGATATGGATCTGAACGTACAAAGAAAACCCTAATCAGGAAAAAGCTAGCCTAATGATTATATATGGGGAACATAAAATATTTACCAAAAATATAAAACCCTAAAAAGGCTTCCTTAAATAACCGAAACTGACAAATTAGTTTCAGTGAAGAAGATGATTGATGTTACAGTCTTGGTCCCTGTATCTTCAGCGCTTTGACAGTTCCAGTCCCCAAATGTTTATAAACTTTACCGTTTCTACCCCCCATTGAAGATATTATTATTTTCAGTGTTAAAATGAAGGATATGGGTTATATTTTCAATTTTGCCCCCCTGACTTTCAGAACTTCACAGACTTTAGCCAAGATTATTAATTCTTTCAATTTCTTGAGATTTTACCACCTTTTACCCCTTCTCTCCAAAATATTTTCATTTCTTATCCTTTTCTTTGGTCTTATTCTTTTTAAACACTTCTAAATAATTGCTTCTTACTCCATTCTTTTTGTCTAATATTTAAAAATCGAAAACTACAAAATTAATTTTTGTTATTTTTCCGGTTTTTTTTTTGTGAATTGGGGATATTCCAAAAGAATTTGTTTCATCAGATCTAACGGGTTTTGAAGATTATTGGTGATTCTTCTTAATTTTCCGGATTCTCTCCATGGTATTGGTTGAAGATTCAAAGGGAAGTGATGATTATTCAAGGGGGGGTTCGTATTTAGAAGATTATTTTTATTTATATCGCTTTGAAGACCCCATGTACTGATGAGTCTCGCAATTTAGGGGGAGAAATGCCAAGAAGATCGGAAATCGTGATCTTCATCAGTTTCAACATCTAGGGGGAGATTGTTGAGTATTTGAGATATTGAAACTGATATGACATATTTGGTTATTTAGGGAAGCCTTTTTAGGGTTAATCATTTTATTATTCCCTACGGTGCCTTTATAGTAGAAGTTCTTAATCGAGCTCTTCTAAGGCATTGGTTTTATTTTAAGGCATAGATTTTATATTTATGGTATATATTTTTTGTTCCCTATAAATAATCATTAGGTTATCTTTTGGTGTAAGCTTTTTTCCAGATTAGGGTTTTTCTCTGTACGTTCATGTGATAATCAATATACGAAAAACCTTTATCAGATTACTTGCATATGATGGTGATCGATTCTTAATTGTTCTTGATATTTCGCATTCGTCATCTCGGATTTATTCCCAACAAGTTTCAATATCTCAAAATACTCAACAATCTCTCCCTAGATGTTGATACTGATGAAAATCACGATTTTCGATCTTCTTGGCATTTCTCCCCCTAAATTGTGAGACTCATCAATACATGTGGTCTTTAAAGCGAGAAAAATAAATATCATCTTCCAAATACGAACTCCCCCTTGAATAATCAACAATCTCCCCCTTGAATCTTTAACAAATAGCATGGACAGAATCCGAAAAGTTATGAAGAATCACCAACAATCTTCGCTATCTCATAGAGTAAGTCGTATAACCCGCTCTGTCATAAGGAGCAAGTTTGCCAAAATAGATCTTCAAAACCCGTCAGATTTGATGAAATAAATCATTTTAGAATATTCACAATTCTCAAAAATTAGAACCGGAAAAATAACAAAAATTAATTTTGTATTTTTCGATTTTTAAATATTAGACAAAAAGAATAGAATAAGAAGCAATTATTTAGAAGGGTTTGAAAAGAATGAGACCAAAGAAAAGGATAAGAAGTGAAAATATTTTGGAAAGAAGGGGTAAAAATGGTAAAAACCCAAAAATTGTAGAGAAATTTAGATTTGGGGTAGAAACAGTTAAATTCTGAAAGTATAGGGACCGGATTTGAAATTTTAAACCATCTTCCTCGTTTGATTTGAAGAACACGCTTTGTTGACTTTCAAAAGTCAAAATCAGTTTGCCAAAGAGAAATTCCGATTTTGGTTGTTGAATCGAACGAGATGAGTGGATCCAAGTCCGATTACAATTAGCTTGTAGAATTCCGAAGACAAATTTTGCGATTGCGAGTTCCAATTCCAAGTTCTGAATGCAGTTTTAAGTTTCGATATTAGTATCTAATTTCCGAAACTTCATCTACGGTGAATTCCGAATGTGACAGTTTCGGATTTGGTTTTCAGTTCCGATACGTGTTATCAAATTCTGATTCCGAGAGATTTGAGTTTCCAATTCCGAGAGATTGATTCTGAGGGCTCCGAGTATGAACGGTGTGGACGACGAATTCCAGAAATTGATTGCGAGTCATTCCGAAGGCTCGGAATATGAACAGTAGACTCCGATTTCGTTGCTTCTGATTCCGATTTCGTTTTGCGAATACGAGTCCGATTGCCAATGCTTGTTCCGATTAATTTCCTTTAGAAATTCCGATGTCGATATGGTCTGCAAAAGAATACCGATCGTGACCTATAATTCCGAAATGTACCCTTAAACTTTTAAGGAAATGGCAGATGTCACCCAAAGTTCCGAAACTAACTTCTTTTTGTCAATAATTCCGAATCTTACCCTTATTTCAGAAAAGTATGACAGCTTGCACCCTCTTTTGCAGAATTGTCAGATGGTAGCCCTCTTTTGGTAGAAAAATGTCACTTTTCACCCACTTTTTCAACTTTTCAGCTTTTTGCCAATTCCAACCATTAAAAATCAATAAAAAAATGATTTCTTCAACAAAATTTCACCATTTTTACTAAACTTTTGTCAGTTTTTTTTTTTTTTTTTGTTGAAAACAACCAAAGATTTATGAGACCTTTGGTACCCATTTAAGCTTCAAATTGATGAAAACTTTTTGCACACCCACTTCTTTGACGAAAATCGATCATCTTCTGAAAACAATATTCGCTTTTTAGTTGGAAAACAAAAATTTCCAAAAAATTCATTAAACCAACGAAATACTCTTTTCTCTTTTCTCCAACTCCTAACATCCTTATCTAAAGAAAAATGAGAATTGAAGTTTCTTTCAACATACTTGGCTTCAACTTTCTGAACTTTTTCACAAGCTTGAGTGACTTGTTGTGGGTGGCTCTCACCTCTGTCTTCTTTTCTCTTCTTTCTTTCTTCTTCTTCTTCTTCTTCTTCTCTTCTTCTTCTTCTTCTTCTTCTTCTTCTTCTTCTTCCTCTTCTTCTTTCTTTTCAGATTATGAGGCTTCAAATAAGATTTTCGGATCTAAACATGTTCATTACATTTTAGAATCTGAACATCACAAGCCTTTAGTATACAAACTTTTGGATTTTGGTAAATCTGAACATCTTGAATTATTGATTTTCTGTAAGGAATCATTCCTTCAAAAACATCATCAGAACATGAAAAATCATCGGTTTGAGTTCCAATAGAACAAAACTTCTTCACTTTCACGATTTCAGAAGAATTTCTTTGAGATTCGTCTTTAGAAGTACCAAATTCGAAATGTAACCCTTCTGAAAAACTTGAATCACTTGACTCCCCCTCAACAAGAACATCTGGAGTAACTTTTCTTCAGAAACATGAAGAACATTATGAACTTCACCAAGAACACCAAGAACATCCTTTTGAATAACATCTTCTTTTCTTTTTCTTTCTTTCTCCAATTGTTCTTCTTTTTCCAGTTCTAAATGATTTTTGATAATACGAAATTGTTCCAACACAAGCTCATTTTCATCCAAAAATTTTATAATTCGTTTTTCTATATTTTTCAAATATGCATTTTTGTCAATCTCTCCATCTACTTAGAGATTATACAAATCAATGACACTTTGCGAATGTTTTATTGGACCATATATAAGATACCAACGATCTGTATTTGAAAGTCTAAATTTCGGATCTATAACTTTCATTCCTAGTTCTTTAATCGAATATAACAGGTCTTAAACTGAAGAGTTCATCATATCTTCAACCAGAAATAAAACTCGAAGAGAGAGAAAATAGATATGAAAATATTGTTAGAGAGAGAAAATAGATCTGAGATGGTTTCTAGAGAGAGAAAACAGATCTGAGACGATTTTTAGAGAGATAAAGTAGATCTGAACACAAATATGAGAATAAACACGGAATTCTTCTTCTATTTCTCTTCCAAAACACGAATCAAGAACAAATTAAGTAAAATAACAGATCTGAAATGGGTTTTGCAATAAAACGAGATATTTCACTTTTTATTTTTAAAAAACTTACAAAACATGAAGAACAAAGTGAGATTCATGATAAAATATCGCCATAAACAAGATCGATTCTAGCAATAATCGCTGAGATCTACAAGAACCCGCTCTGATACAACTTGTTAGGAATAAATCTGAGATGACGAATACGAAATCTGAAGAACAATCATGAATCAATCACCATATATGCAAGTAATCTAAAAAAGGTTTTGTGTGTATTGATATGGATCTGAACGTACAAAGAAAACCCTAATCAGGTCAAAGCTTTCATCAAAAGCTAACCTAATGATTATATATGGGGAACATAAAATATTTACCAAAAATATAAAACCCTAAAAAGGCTTCCCTAAATAAGCAAAAATGTCAAATCAGTTTCAATATCTCAAAATACTCAACAAGTATCATTTCTAGGGCATAGGATTATTGACGGAAAGATCCATATGGATGAAAGAAAAGTACGAGCCATCGTTGAGTGGGAGTCGCCTAAGAATGTATCCGAGTTACGATCATTCTTGGGCCTAATAAATTACTATCGCAGATTCGTCTCAAGGTACTCGGCTAGAGCTTCACCACTAACCGACCTTCTCAAAAAGAAAGTAATCTGGGAATGGACCGACAAATGTCAAAGAGAATTTGATGAATTAAAGAATGCGGTCACGAAAGAACCTGTCTTGAAGCTTCCAGATTACTCCAAACCCTTCTTAGTACAAACAGACGGATCAGACTTCGCGATAGGAGGATTCTGGATTCAAGAAGAACATCTGATGGCCTACGAAAGTCGAAAATTAAATGAAACAGAACAAAGGTATCATGTACATGATAAGGAAATGATAGCAATCATCAATTGTCTTCGGGTATGGAGGCATTATTTGCTTGGAAGCTGGTTTATAATTCAAACTGATAATGTGGCCACCAGTTACTTTCAAAATCAGAAGAAACTCAATCCCAAACAAGCACGTTGGCAAAATTTTCTAACCGAGTTCGATTATATCATGGAGTACAAACCCAAAAAAAACCAATGTTGTTGCCGACGCTTTAAGTCGCAAGGCAGAACTAGCAGCTCTTACCTTGGTGACGTGTAACCTTGTTGATCAAATAAAAGAAGTGTTGAGCCACGACCCACTAGCCAAGAACTTGGTAGAGATGGTTAGAGAGGGCAAGACAAGAAAATTATGGGTCGAAGAAGGACTCCTACTCATAATTGGTAACCGCATGTATGTTCCGAAATGGGACAACTTAAGGCGTGAAGTCCTGAAGGAATGTCACGACTCTAAGTGAGTTGGACATTCGGGCACCCATCGTACAAGGGCACTTATAGAACGATCATATTACTGGCCAAGCATGTGAAGCGATGTGGATGCATATGTGAAGACTTGTCTTATATGCCAACAAGACAAGGTAGAACAAGCAAAGCCGACAGGTCTATTAGAACCGCTATCGATTGCCAAACGACCATGGGAGAGCATATCGATGGACTTCATCTCGGCATTAGCTATGTTTGAAGGACGCGGCTCCATAATGCTAGTTGTAAATCGGTTTTCAAAATATGGAACATTTGTTCCAGCCCTACGAGATTGATGGGTTATGAGCATTACATCAATCCTATGGTGCACATGCAACACTAAACTTTGAATCTAGGTTTTCTCTAATTGTACATGCAATAATAATCATCCCAAGCTATAACCCTTAACTGGCACGCATAAATCGAAATTTATATCAAAACAAGATTAGAATCTTACATTTCAATTGTAGCTAGCTTGATATGCAACCTTTGACAACTTATCACCTCAAATGCGATGCCTCTAATAGATCACAAATACCAAGAGCAAGTTGGAGGAATAAGAGATAGAGAGAGAGAGAGAGAGGGGGAGAGAGACGCACAAAATCGGCTGGAGATCCTTCTAGGGTTTCTAGTGGCCGATTTTGGCATGCCCAAGGGTTCCGTATATAGCTGAGCAGTTAGGGTTTCAGTCAAAACCCTAATCCAGTTGCTTAGTCCTTAAGCAGCCCATAGGATCCTTCCAGAAGGCCCCTATGGACGATTTCTATGTGAGCTTCCCCATAGAATTCGTCCATCCCTCCTTTAGGGATCCTAAGCCCAACTTTGTAACTATCTTATAATTACAGTATGAGTCCCCTTAATTTAATTAATCTCTTTTGACCACAAAATTAATTCTAAATTAATTCTTGACCAATATTAATTAAATAATATGATTTCTCTTTTAATATATTATTCCTATAATATATTAATAAATCATAATTAACCTCTTTCTCCATAATTCATCCAGTCAAGTTGCTATGGTGAAGGCAACCCAAAAGGACCATGCTACTATCGGGTCAAGTACATACCAAATATAGTTATGGGCTTAGACACCTAATCCAACAGAGATTGCATGGCCGAAGAAGCGGGGCGACTATTCTTCAAGAATGTCGCGAAGTATTGGGGACTCCTACGGAACATTATAAGTGACAGAGATCCTCGCTTTACTGGAAAGTTTTGGAGAGAGTTATTTAAACTCGTGGGATCAGATCTCCACTTCTTGACTAGTTTTCACCCTCAGACCGATGGCCAGACTGAGAGGGTGAATCACTTGCTCGAGATTTACCTAAGGCACTTTGTGAGTGCGAACCAGCGAGATTGGGCCAAGTTGATAGATGTGGCCCAATTTTCTTATAAGTTACAACTAAGCGAGGCTACATGAAGGAGTCCCTTTGAACTCGATACGGGTTAACAACCGTTGACACCAAAAAAACTAACTAAAAGGTACAAAGGATTAAGCCCTCCCGCATATAAGTTCGCAAAAGTGTGGAATGAAGAACTCGACATAGCAAAGTCTTACTTGAATAAGGCAGCCAAACGAATGAAGAAATAGGCGGATGAAAAAAGGCAGCCAAGAGAGTTCATTGTGGGGGACGAAGTAATGGTAAAGCTTCCCCAAAGAATGTTCAAGTCTACCCGAAAAGTACATAAAGGCTTGAATCGAAGATACGAGGGGCATTATAAGATTGTTGAAAAGGTCGGGACACGGTCATACAAACTCGAGTTACCATCCAACTTGAAGATCAACCCCGTATTCCATGTAAGTCTCCTCAAACAATACAATCGAGATAAGGAGGACCCATCTAGAAATGAATCGCATCGTGCCCCATTCACAAATGTCGTCTCATATGATAAGGAGGTGGAGGAAATCTTAGCCGCCAGAGTAGTTCGCAAAAGAGGAATGCGCAACTGGACAGAGTATTACGTGCGATGGAAAGGATCCCCCGAGAGCGAATCTAACTGGGAGCAAGAACAAGATTTATGGCAGTTCCATGACTAGATCGACGCTTACAGAACTAAAGCTTGACGAGGAAGTCAAGGACTTTGGTAGGGGAGGGTGTCACAGACTGTATATAGAATTTTCCGGAGTACTCGAGAAGCTGGTGGAGTATGCTAGTTTGAGCCGGAATATCCTAGAGTGTCCTAGAATTATCTAGGACATCGAAGACTTATCTTGATCTTTATAGAACCGTGTAAACATGTAAATATCTAGATAGATTATTCTAGAATAGTCCTTGTATAAAGAAATAGGTAGTAGCATCTAGAATATTCTGCTGAGGAGGTGTAATGACCCTATAAATAGGGGTGTGGCCATTTGTTCCAAGATCATCGGAAGTTGCCTTGTATTCTCTTGAACTCGTATAATAGAAGCTCTCTTTCATTTGTATTAATTCTCAATCCTTGTCTCTTGCTTTCCAATTCGTTAGTACATCGTTTAGGAAGCGTAGTAAGCCTGACTTAGTAGAAGAAACACTAAGTGGAACACGGTGATCGAGTATTCCTGTGACACGCCGCTCTCTTGTATGGTGGAGGGTCGTTAACCAATCCATGAAAACACACATCATGCTTTATATATCATTAATTGAGCGTGTGTGGTTAATCGGCACACTAATAGTGACTATAAAGAGATATGATGGGCATCTTGAAAATTATCATTGTTGATGGAGCGTGTGTGGTTAACCGGTACATCAATAAGAGATGATAAATGACATCGAGGTTGTCAAGCGGGTTTGAATGGTTATTCACATCTTGTTTGTGATCCTCGACATCCCAATCACAAAAGTGAGAGCATAATCCGAGATTAAACATGTCATTGATTTGATTCAATGAATCTGAAAATATCTAGGAGTTTCATAAGATTAGAATTGGTAAAAGCCTTACTTACCTAAAATAGATTCAAATTTGATTACGACATCACTCTTCAAAGTTCGAATCGAAAATATGGATCCTAGACTTAATTTAAATTGTGGGTTATTAATTAAGGATTAAAGTCAACTAACTTGAATTCTACTTTCTCCTAATTTTAGATGTCTTATGAAGATAGAAATGGTCTTCCTTGTTCTTTTAGAAATGGTTTTCCTCTTCCTTCTGAAGATGATATTCCACATTATGGTCAAGGTGAAAATGTTTTCCCTTTTTTGGGAATTTGTGGAAATGGACATCATGCTTCTTCAACACTTCCACCTCCTCCTACTGTGACTCTTCCAACATTAAGTTTCCTCAAGTTGAAAGATATGAGACAACTCAAGCCCTATTGGGATGTAAACATCAAGATGGAAACTTTGTGTGTGCGCATGTTCTGAAAAGAAATCGTACATTGACAAGTTGGATAGATTGGGTGTCATTTTCCCAAGGGAGAAATCCATTGAATTATTCCTTCCCTCGCTTCCAAATTCATATGATCAGTTTATTGAGAACTTTTATATGAGGAATATCGACATGACCCTAATTGATCTGACCCAAATGTTGATGGTTGTTGAAGCAGAAATGCTTAAGAGCACATCTAAAGTAGAGAAAATTATTGGGTCTAATTCCAAAGTTTCCATAAACATTGACAATGGTGACAATGGTGGTCCTGAACGGAGTTTCTTCACAATGGAAAGGGGTTGTCCAAAATCAAATCTTTTGATCGTATAGTAAAAGAAAAAGTTAGTTCTGGGATCGTTCCATGTGCTCACCCCAAAAGTCTTTGTTTCTACTACCAATTGAAGGGACATTGGAAACGAATCTACCCAAAATACATGAAAGATCTTAGAGATAGTAAAGTCAAGTTGTGTGACTCTACTTCAGGTACATCCATTATCTGACTCCATTTTTTTATAAGTTCCTATTTATAGATTCTTAATACATGATGTGATGATCTCATTTTGACGATATTAAAGAAGGAAGCTTGAGCAAGGTGAGCTAAATCTGATCATGAGAAATAGATTTTGGTCACATGGTTCGAAGATCATAATTTGGAGCTACTACTAAGGAGTTGGGATACTTAAATAAATTGCTATTATTCTTTGGAGAAGTATAGAAACATAGTTTTCATTTTATGCGTTGTAAGGAAAAGTTCCAACTTTTCATTTATTTTCAATAAAAGTAAAATTTTGGTTTATCTGGTTGCCTTATTTTATATTCCCTTGCAATGGAATTTATGAAAGTGTTGGTTACATTTCTAATACTAACAATATTAATTGTGGATTTGATTCTTATGATATCGCATGTGGTATTGTCATAATTAATCAAGTAAAAATAAATCTCATTACCAACTGGATAGATACTTTGTGTTGTACAAATAGCATTGTATAGTATATGATAATCTTTTTTATTGAAAAAAATATGACTAATTCATTGATCACATGCTTATGTGAGTCAAGTGAAGGACTAATGGATCTAGTATATGTTGATATGGACTATTCAGATCCACCACAAAGGATGATAACTCTATTCATCATGATTTTCTGATGTTTCAGTAAATATGGTTGTGTTTATAAGATTAAGCATAATTTTGATACTTTGAAAAGATTCAAAGAGTAGCAGAACGAATAAGAAGAATCTATTAGGCAGAAAGATAAAATATTTTCCAATCTAATAAGAAAGGAGAATGTTTTAGTATCATTTTTTATGATCATCTTAATGACTGTGAATTTATATCACAATTGATCCTCGAAAAACATCTTAGTGCAATTGTATGACTAAGACGAGGAATCGAATATTGTTGGAAATAGTTCGATCAAGAGATGAGTCATACTTCATTCTAAATCAAGTTGTAGATCCATGCTCTAGTAACTGTTAATCATATCTTTAAACTTATTTCAAACTAAGAATGTCGGAAACACCTCGAAATTTTTGGAGTAAAAATGATTTCTTACTCTAGCACATATAGAATTGGAGCTGTGATGTTTTCGTTAATCAAGAAACAAAAGATAAATTGAGACCTATTCTATGAAGTGTTTCTTGTCGAGAATCC